CTTATTTTCAAAACCCAGCCTTCTGAGGTTTCTTCTGGAAAGGGGGGCTTGGGCTGGGGAGGTCAGAGCCCTGGGTTCTTAGTTCCCCAGCTTCTGGCCATGAAAGACGTTGGGCATTTGTGCAAAGGCCTGTTCCCTTTTTCCTGGGCCTCGATTTCCCATCTGTTTAATGGGTATAAACAGGAGTGGGTATTAGTGCTTAACATTCCCCAGGCACTGTGCTAAGTGCTTTTCATGGATTATGTCACGTGGCTCTTCACTCCTGACTTAATGAATTCATCTGCGGAAAGCATTTAGCAGTGACTGGCATAGAGTAGGCACTCACTACTAGCATCTCCACTTTACAGGCCAGGAAACCGAGGCACAGATTAATTCGCCTAAGGCAACAGAGTCAGAAGCAGAACAGGGATTTGAACCACGTGGCCTGGCCTCAGTGTTCAGGGGCCCATATTCACAGTGCACTGTCCCCTTGGGGATACTGCCCCGGCCACTAGGGCCTGGAGGCTTCTGGAGTGATCTCAGGGAGGTCACTCCAGGTCAGGACAGGGAGTGACAGGAGGCTCCTAAGGCTTGGATTACATTTATTCCAAATGCAAACAGTTTACACAGCCCAGGTGCCGCCTGGCCGGCTTCTGAAGCACAATCAGCCAGGTGCTTTGCTCCGTCCGCACCAGCCAGTGCGGAAAGGCCTCTTCCTGGGAGAGCTGCAGGCTTAGAGCCTGGTGCCAAGTAGGACACAGCGGCAGGTGGGAGACTCTGGAGAGAGGGCAGAGTTGTCATAACAATAAGCTGGACCTACCACCCTACACACACATGCCTTACAACCCGGGGCTGGGTTTTGTGCCTGTTTGTCATTTGCTGGGACTGAGGAGAAAGGGGAGGAGGAGCCAGTTGGTCGAGATGGCCTTTCTAGGGCTCACACAGAATGCGCTGCTGCTACTGCTGCTGCCCCTTCCCCACCCGGAGAGTTCCTGGAAGGCAGGGCCCCTGGGCTGACGGATGGGCTCACTGCCCAGCCTCCCCTCTGGTCTCCCGTCTCCCAGCCGGCACTCGGCTCTCCTTCCTCCCACCATGGCCTCAGTGTGATCACACACAGGTCTGACTCTGTCACTCCCCTGCTTAACCGTCATCCAAGGCTCCCCGCTGCTCTCCGGATAAAGTGCCCACTCATGGTCTGGCATTCAAGGCCCTTCCGGGTCTGGGCCTTGCTTTCCCTCCATGAACCCGAGCTTCTGCTCCAACAAGCTCTTTGCATTTTCATGAAACATTGTGTGTGTGTGTGTGTGTATATACGTGTGTGTATGCATGTGTGTACGTGTGTATATGCGCATGTATACATGTGTATGTATACGTGTGATTGTGTGTACACATGTGTATGCGTGTGTATGTATGTATACGTGTGTGTGTGTGTGTGTGTGTGTACACCCTGTGCATGGGCTTTCTTCTAGACTCTGGGCTCCTGCTCTCCCCCCTGCCTGGGAAGCCCTTCCCTAGTTTGCCTGCTCACCCTTGAAGATCCAGCACAAATGCCAGGTCCTGTGAAGCCTCTGTATCTCTTTCCATCCTTCTCGGTGTGTGTGGGGACCACTTCTCCTGCCTAAAAGCACCCCGGGAATTCCTGAGTTATTTCCTTTTGCATTTCTCCTGCATGGGCAGCCAGATCTGCTTCCTCTGTGGGCCCTGGCACATGACTGGGCCCAGACTGGCAATGAAAGCTTATTGAGAGAATAACGTTCTACCTCTGCCAACAGGAGACAGACAGACAGACAGATGCACCAGAGAGTGAGAACATTCCGAGCTGGGGAGTGTGACAGGCACACAGAGACAGGGAAGGGCAGAGAGCCCAGGAGAGGTAGAGGGAGCAGCCAGAGGCCTGACCCACCTGGCTTTTGTCCAGAGCCTCCTGGACCACCTGGGCTGTGCAGCCCGCGTGGCAGGGGGTGAGGTACTCCACACGGGTGCTGAGGTCGCAGACCGGGTTGAAGTCATCCGGAGGGCAGGCGCAGGGCTCCATGCAGCCTGGGAAGGACTCCAGTCCAGGCTGGGACCTGGTGCAAGAGAAGGCCAGAGGGTTGGCCTGGCTCTCCCTCCCTCAGGCCACAAACCAGAGCTACCTTGGCCCTCAGCCTGGCTCCCCACTGAGAGAGCCGTGGCCAGAGATGTCCACCCCATGCGGGTCCTACGCTGCCCCA